GCCTAAATTCGGCCTTCCTGGCCTTACAGACCAGTTTTTTACAGGTGCGGTGACCCGCAGGTGCAGATGGGTCGAATCCCGCAATTTTCAAGTGCCAACTTTGGCGAATTATTGCACGTTACGGAAGAAGACTTAACCAAAAAGTCCGAAAATTTGAGATCTTGTAGATTAGATTGTGCTATCTCACAGAAAAATATCAGAGGAAAAAAAAAAAAAAGGACCGTGAAATTAATGTCGCACTGATTCCTCACATTTTCCACTTTTGCCACTCTCCCGCGTGAGAGCCAATGGGCAACATACCCCAACTTTCATGATTTTTTGCGCTGAGAAAAATGACTCGTAAACTCTGACATTTGGAAGGCCTGTGGATTAAAAAAAAAAAAGTTTGGACAACCGTTAAAAAAATGCCTCGCCGATTCATCTCATTTTCCATTTTTGCCGCTCTCTCGCACGTCTGGCCCAACGGGGAAAGTACCTCAACTTCAGCGATTTTTCACGATCAAAAGAATGTGTCAAGAAATCTGAAAATTGGAGGCTCTGTAGATTCGGTCGCGTTCTTTTTTTTTTTTTTTTTTTCCCTTCAATAAAGCAGGTCCTTATGGCCCTGGCTCCATATCCATTCTGGGACGCATCAGTCTGGTTCGTATTCCAGCGGCAAGTCAAAAAAAAAAAAAAAAACCAACAGACTCACGCTTCCTTCCGTCTTTCCAGGAAAACTATTAATAAAAATAGAAAACATCGTTTAGGCTTCCCCTGGTTCTCTCCGCTGTGCTATCGGTAGCCCTCTTGAACCTGTGGTCCTGTCCCACCGGTCCCCCAAAATATAGGCCGGCGTGGCGACAACAGCAAGACATAAAGGACGCCATACATTCTAGGACAGCGCAGCGCAGCAGAAGGTTACATGAAGTAAGGGTGGGCCCAGAGAAAGCGTCGACGACTACGGATGGGCCCAGAGAAAGCGTCAACGACTATGGATCGGCCACGAGAAAGCGTCGACGACTACGGATCGGCCCAGAGAAAGCGTCAATGTCTATGGGCCTGCATGTTCAGAGGTGGTTTGGAGGTAGTGGAGGCTTAGGAGCTGAACAGCTCCATAATAGAAAAACAAAGACAACCAGCCTCAGCAAATACGATAAAGTCGGGGGCTCAGACACCAATGTTAGGCATTCCAAAAGGCATTCCAGTACCGGCCTGGGGTCGAACTTCATAGTCATTCCCCCCACTCAATCCAAAATACTCTGATGTGAATTCTGTATTGAGCAATTGTAACAGGGGACGCTGGGCCCGCTCCTCAGCAGGTGCTAATCCCCGCCAAGAGATGGAGCCACCGCGGGACAGCTTGAGGCGCCGGGTCCCACCAGCATCTCATATCCTGCCTTCTTTTATTGAGAGACGAAATGAAATGCCTGGATATGCAGGATATGTTCATTAGATTGGCCACTGTGAGACCTTACCAATCGACCCACTCATCCAGCTTCCAGTTCCAGTTCATCAAGGATCTTGCACAGAGACATGTAGATATTTGATATACGCACTTTCGGCATGCACACATGTTCTGCCAGAACTGACTTCTTTTATCGAGAGACGACATGAAACTCTCTCCCACTCTGTCTAGCTCTGGAGTCTAAACATCCTAAACCCCCTTGCAATCTCTGCCCGCACAGCACAGCACAACACAGCACAGCGTAATCCCAAAACCCAGCACCTGCTCATCGCTACGTCAACACAGCCGCAGAGTGCTTCTGTCGACACAAAAACACACACACACACACACACACACACACACACACACAGAGAGAGAGAGAGAGAGAGAGAGAGAGAGAGAGAGAGAGA